CCTTCGGCTCAGGTCATGATCCTGGAGTCCCGGGATCGAGTCCCGCATCGGGCTCTCAGCTCAGCAGGGAGTCTGCTTCTCCCTCTGACCCTCCCCCCTCTCATGCTCTATCTCGTTCTCTCTCTCAAATAAATAAATAAAAAGAGAAAAAAAAAATCTTTAAAAAAATCTATGTATAACTGATTCCCCCAAAACTTAACTACTAATAGCCTATTGTTGACCGGAAGCCTTACCAATAACATAAACAGTTGATTAACACATATTTTGTATATGTATTATATACTGTTTTCTTACAAGAAAGCAAGTTAAAGAAAATGTTATTAAGAAGATCATAAGGAAGAGCAAATACATTTACAATACTGTCCTGCGTTCATTGAAAAATATCCACTTGTAAATGGACCTGCAAAGTTCAAACCCATATTGTTCAAGGGTCAACTGTATATACTCCTTGAAAATCAGTGTGCAAATCCATTCATTTTAAATTAGATGACATTATACACTTGCAAGATACCTCTGAATATTTTTCAAAATTAAAAGTTTGTTTGTACTTTATAGTTAGATCAGAAATCCGTCACTCTGCGATTATCAGAGAACACTAGTGTCATATTTCATCACCACTGAAACCTAATGTACGAAGCATTTTTTTACAAATATTATAAATCATGTTATCAGCCCATTTTAACCACGAATTTTTCATCCAAGTTCTAGATTCATTATCATTAGTTCTGACTGCAATGGTTTTGTTGAAATAAAATTCTACTATCCACAGGAAAATTTCACCACTGAAAATTTCAAGACAGGAGTTTTTAAAAGTTTACCTATATTTCACATAAAACTGGAAGAACAGAGAAATGATATTTGGAAACACTACCAATTAAATGGTTAGCAGATTGATGAAAAGCTTTCTAAAATATTGCAAAAGAAAAAAGTGACTTAATAATCTTAAATCAAGTTTAGCATACCTTTCCTGCATCTACTGCAACAAAGAAAACTATTTATAAAATAGGATTCAGTTTAGATACTGATGAATATTTTAAAGTTCTACCTACGTATCATTCTCTAAAAAAACTTGCAATGTCAGAAAAGAAATACAGCAAACTATAAACAACCTTAACATATTTTAAACTCTTACAACCAAACAGGCTTATTATGTTAAGTGTATAGGCAGTATTGTTATTAAACACCCAGACATGACAGGATAACTAGAACCTTCACCGGACTGTCTTGAAAAAGCAACTACTCAAACTGTTTCCATCTCCCTGTTGCATCTGGTTTATATGCCCATTTGAATAGGGAAGAAGTAGGTCACCAACAGATATTTTATAATTTAATATGATTAGTATTAACACCATGGTTTTTAAAAGAAAGAAAGAAAGAAAAGAAAGAAAGAAGAAAGAAAGAAGAAAGGGAAGGGAAGGAAGGGAAGGGAAGGAAGGGAAGGAAGGGAAGGAAGGGAAGGAAGGGAAGGAAGGAAGGAAGGAAGGAAGGAAGGAAGGAAGAAAGGCTTTCTACTTTAAAAATATACCTGTAATGACGCCGAGCAACTAAGGCAGATGCCACTCTCCCTTCCCTTTCTCCCACACCACAATTGCCCAGGAAATTGTTGCTATCCATGATTGCAAGTTCATGTAAAAAAAGTTCAAGTGTACTTTCATCCCAACCATCCTCTGGACACTTGCCCTGAAAAAAAAACAAAAGCAAAAACAAACAAAAACTTTTATTTCAGAAAACCATCCCCTAGAACCGTACTTCAATGAATTTTTTAAAACTCTGCAATGTGTATTTTGCCATGCTTCTTGCTTTCTCAACTTCAGACATAAATTCAGCACAACGAAGAAACCTCAAAGAGGCAAAACATTTGTTAACACTGCATTACAATTATCTACAGATTCTCAGAAGGGATAATAAATGAATACGATGACATTTACTCAGTTTGAAGTTGCAGTTAAGGTAACTGAAAACCAAAAACCGTATCTTCAATGACGATTCTTCACACCGGACTGCTAAGACTACGGCTTGTCAAACTTGAGTGCAATTAAAATTCGGGGTACTGGCAGGAACGAGACCTGCGAGGTTCTGCAGCAGTTCTTGGTTCGAGTTACTATATCCTGGTTTACAAACACAAAGCGTCCCCCTTGGAAGTAGTGAAAGACGGAAGATGCGAACTTTGCCCTTCTCGCAAACAAAACAGTAAAGCAACTGGGACTTCCCCTCCCTTCCACACCCCGAAGTTCGGGAAAAACAGGACTCAAAATCCGGACTCCCACAAGCTCCCTAACAACACTCTCTGGGTTTTGCTGGTTTATGGTGAGGCTGAGGAGCTGAGCGCAAGTCAGCACAACGCACGCCAAGCTGCGAGAGACTCCGGGGACAGGTCTCAACCGACAGACGGGAGCGGGTGGGCAGGACGCAGGACTAAAAGGGCGCTGGGCGGAGCCAGAGGCTGTGGGGGGCGCGGCAGCTGGGGAGGGACCCGACAGCTCGGTACCTTCTCCAGAAGCAGCCGTATGAGGTGCTCATGCGAGCGGCGGGCCTCACAGCCCTGTCGCACATAAGCCGGCGACACCAGCCGCTCGCCCGCCGCGAAGCTCTCGCGGTTCATTTCGGCGGTGGCGACAGTGGCGAGGGAACACTCGACACACGCCGTACGCGCTTACTGAACCCAGGATGCAACTCGCCGCCCGGACGGTACGGCAAGGCCTTGGGACAAAAATCTTGTCTCGCTTCTGCACATGCGCAAACCGCCCTAGCTTGTGCTCCAGAAACCGTGGACTTGATCATGCGCGGGGGTGTTCGTTGCGTTTAGCCGGTGTAGGAGAGTGTTCCTGAGACGGACTTGAAGGAAAATTGTGCATTTGTGCAGAGGGGCTGGGGAAAGTAAAGGGGAACTGTGTGGGCTCCTCTGCAGAAAAACTTCGTAGCTTACTCTGTCTTCCAACCCCGTTGAATGGTGAGATTTGCGCAGTCTGTGCTTCAGTCTTACACCGTATCTCTCATATTCTAGAATCTTTCATCCTTACTTTCGTAGGTCTCAACATGTTCTATTGCCTGACAGCCCGCTATGAAATAGCAGAGCCTCACTCCTTTCATCCTCTGCACTACAGAATTTTTAGCCCCAGCACTTATCACCCACCACCTGACTTTACATTTTTTTGTACCCCACACCCACACACCTATGGATGTAAACTTCCGAAAGATACGGACTTGGTTTTCGCTGCTGTGCCCCCCCCCCCAAGCGCCTAGAACGGTACCCAGAATATAGTAGGGGCTAAAAAAAAATTTTCATACTGAATTAATAAATAGCTCTGACCATTGAACAACCTAGCGCTCGGTATGGGAGATACAGAAATGAAAAGGTAGGATCCCTGCCTCCAGTTTCCTTGCACTCTTCTGGTTAGGTGAGCCTACAGTAATTCCGGACCTTGTTCGTGTTCAGTGGTGTGCTGGAGTCCACTCGAACTGGTTCATACTTGCTTTGCAAGAGCTGATTGTTAAATGTTCAGGAATTTTGTGAGCTGGTTTTAAAATACAGCTGCTTTTTGGGCGCCTGGATGGCTCAGTTGGTTAAGCGACTGCCTTCGGCTCAGGTTATGATCCTGGAGTCTCGGGATCGAGTCCCGCATCGGGCTCCTTGCTCAGCGAGGAGTCTGCTTCTCCCTCTGACCCTCCCTCCCTCATGCTTTCTCTCTCTCTCAAATAAAGAAATAAAATCTTAAAAAAAAAAAAATACAGCTGCTTTTGAACAATAGATTATGTAAGTTTACAGTAAACTATATGAAAGGCAAACGTGGTAAATACACAAACTTACACTTCCTACTTATGTTTTCTACACTTTACTGTTATCTGCACTTTTGAGATCATTTACATCTCTTGTATCTGGACAGTGGAAATACAGCATAATGGTGTACTGCTGCATATGTCTTTCCAACTCCCTTTTTAGTGGCATCATGTTGGAAGTTTGAAATTGGCCATGGTGGGAGTATTTACACCGTGGAAATCAACAAATGCTGCAGATCAGGCTCTGACCTCCCTGCCACTCCCAGGAATGTTTAGCTACATGTTCCCAGGGTATCGATACCCACCATTTGTCAGCCTGGCACTTGTCAAACTGCATTCCAGATGTTAATTTTCTGTTTTCCTCAACTAGACTGTGAGCCGGTTTGACAAAGGCAATATTTGATATCTGTGTTCAAAGCACAGAACTAAACACATAATAGATATTTGACAAATATTTATTAATGATAGACCATTTGAGAACTTTGTAAAATTACACAGAAAGATAAACCACAAAAATAATGAGAATTTAGCTTATTTTTTTAAGTAAGCATCAATCTTTAAACTTGTGAAGAGTTCTTACTCCCCAAATACAACTATTCTTGCAACTTCTCCTTTGGGAAAGCCTTCAAAGCTGATTTGGGGATCACAGGCAAATGTGCAAAAATCACAAGATCCATCTCATTACTGAGTGGACACACTAGGTTTCTGAGCCAGCAGTTTCTCTCACCTTCTTTACTGGTCTTAATTTGGAAAAATCTTTGTTTCTGGAAACTAAATCCATCATCAAGCTCTGCCTTCATATAAGTTATTTAAAAAAAAAATACAGGCTCTGGAGGCAATTGTGAAAGAAGTGTTCTGAAATTATTTTCATCCATTCTCTCACCCAAGGAGTACTTAGTGAGCATCTAATATCTTTAATAGGGCAACATCAGAATAATTTCATTGCCCTTATAAGACGTAACATGGTTAAAAATAGATCCAACATTCATAGGTCTGAATTTTGCTTGTGTTAACTAGTTGTGTGACTTTGGATACATTACTCATATTCCCTGAACTTTGCTTTCCTCACTTGTAAAACAGAGACATGGAGGAGATCGTTATGATGATTAAATGAGATGTAATTGCACAATGCCATCTTCCCTTGATAGACTGGATAAGGACCAGACCCTGTCTGAGAGGATAAGTACCCCCATCCATAATCTCTGCAGCAAGTAGCCCAGGAAGCCAAACCAAAACCCCTGCAGCAATCTTGCCAGAACAGTTAGGACTCAGCTGATGCCTGCCAGCTTCCCAATTTTTTCACTCACTTCCAACTCAGGACCAAGCAGAGAAAGCCAAATATGCTCTCCCTAAACCAATGATCTAAGATGCTCTTTTCTAATTAGCCTACCTCCATCTTCCCCTTGCCAACAACCGCCAATCAGAGCACATCTGAACCCTTCCCATTTTTTCACCATAAAGCTTTTCCACTTCCCTGGCTGCCCTTGAGTCTGCCAAATGCAAGTGATGGTGACTAACTCCCTTGCCCTAGCAAGCTCTGAATGAACAGTCTCTGTTTATTACTTGGGTGGTCTTTGTTTCTTGCCACAGCTTTCCTGGAGACTCCACTGAGACACGGTCTGCACTGTCCATCACCATGGACCCCAGCCTCTGACCCGATGTGGTCCCCACAGAGGACCCTTGTACCTTGCTGCGTGTGGCTTGTCACATCTGTGCCAACATCATCAGAGCTGGGTCTGAACTCTGCTATCTTTGCATTGAGTTCCTCAGCTATTTATTCTACTTACGCTATCCTGGGTGGAATCAGGCTATTCTTTTTCATCCTTTTTGGGGGGCTCTCTTTTGTACTTTTATTTTGTATTGTGTTATCTGAAAGTACTATTTGTCATAAGAAGGAGAATGATAGGGTAGAACACAGACATAGGCCCTATAAGCCTGTTGTTCGAGCCAGCCTCACAGACCAGTGAGTTTGCAGTTCTCACCAGATGGGCATCCATTTGGACAAACTTCACCATCGGCCACTAGTAAAACTGGGTGAGGCACTCCTTCCACCTTGATTTTTTTTTTTTTTGTCCTGAGAATTTGCCTTTAATTCAGAGAGAGGGCTCACTCCACTATTCTACCTGCCAAGGGGTCAGTGTTTGGAGGGGGCCAGCCCTCAGGTGGGGGGGGGTGGGCCTGACACACAATGAACACAAGCATCACTTTCAACCAAGCTTTGCCGGCTCTCCTGGGGTTATCCAGGCCTAAATCCGCTCCTCCTCCAGGAAAAACTGCTGCTTCTTATATGTTTTGTCATTACAATCCCAGTTCTGGTGGCTAGCTCTCTAAGTGGAATAACTTCAGCTGTGGCCAGTCTGTGGAACATTTGACTTGAATAAATTTTGTATTTAATAGGCACCCTAGAAAAGAAGGGGAATTAGAATTTCTTAGGTCAATGGACAGCAGTTTTTAATTGGTATACAGAAGCCTCCAAAAGAAATTCTGGTTCAAAAATTATTTCATTAAAAGATACTTTGGCCAAAGCTAGTGAGCAATTTGACAAGCCTAAGCAACAAGGAACTAGACTCATTTCCTAGTAAATCCTCCCTCTCCTTGTCCTCCACTTGCCTCCCTATATCCAATTTCGCTCTTCCTCTTTATCCTTCTCATCTCTGTCTTTCATCGCTTCTGTCAACTACGTCTGTCTCTTCCTCTTGAGCAGACCCTGTATGTTTTCCCAAGGACCTCCTAACACCATAAAATGTCAGTTGCTTAATGATCCATCTCTCTTATGAGCCAGATATGCAGGTAACTGTAGAATTTAAACTTTGGACCCAAGATGAATTAAGAGCTATAGTTAAGGACTTCCCTACAAGACCCCCAACAAGACCAGCAACTATTCCTAGAACAATTCTTTTGGGTGCATATGATTCAGGGTTACCTAACCTACATCAGCTTATACATATGTTGGTCAGGACCACAGATGCTAAATCTTGAATAGCAAAAGCTGATTGGATTGACCCAGGATTGGATCTATAGGATCTCGTTGTCCATAATGAAGCTAGGGTCAAAAAAAAAAAAAAAAAGGCCTGAAAAGTAGGGCAAAGCCTCTCACCAGTAGTATCCCTAAACATTTCCAACAAAAATTGATTGGACCATAATTTAATCATGAAAACAGAAAAATGGTAAAAAATATATATATATAAGAGATTTTTGTGCTAGACTAGAAAATCCCTCTGACAACATTCGGGAGTTCACAGAGGTGTCAGTGTAAAAACAGCCCTTTCATCTCAATCTGTCAATGGAGTTAAACCTGAAGCTGAAGCCTGATTCAAAAATAGAAAAGGAAATAGCACCTTTGCTGAACACTTGTTAGAACATTTTAAGAAGGGTTTAGAATAAATGGGTGATGGGTATTAAGGAGGGCACTTATTGTGATGAGCACTGGATGTTGTATGTAAGTGATGAATCACTAAATTCTACTCCTGAAACCAATATTATGTTAACTAACTAGGATTTCAATCAAAATTTGGGGGAAAAAGAAGGGTTTAGAATAAAAATGAGACAGAATCTAAAATTATGATCTTGCAGATCAAACAGCTAGGGGGC